CCCCCTCCTACCCTTCATTGAAGTAGGGCACAGAAACAAATGCTTGAGTTCCTGGAATCTTCCCTTTTACACCTGGTGGTGGAAGAAAGGGGGAGGGGAGAGCTCTGACTGGGAGGGTGTATGTGTATGTTCTGTAAACATTATGTGTGTGTACACACATAAATACACACACACATAGAATATATACATACCTTGGTGGGGGTTGAAGAGGAGGAATGAATACACGAGGACCTCTAGTGGAAAGAGAGGGGTCTAAGCAGTTCTTGATTGTTTCAAGACAGGTTTGTTGGAAGAGCCTCCTCCATTTTTATCAGAACTGTAGCTGCTGAGTAATAGTGTTTGGGAGTATTGTTGTTGCATTTGAACTGGAGATCTGAGGTAGGGGTTGGAGAGAGTCTGTCTCTCTGCTCCTGTGTCCCCTCCAATCTTAAAAAGACATGGGCCTGGTTGGGCGTGGCTCAGTGGTTGAGCATGGACCTAGGATCCAGGTGATCGGGGTTCGATTCCTGGTCAGCGCACATGCCCGGGTTGCGGGCTCAATCCCCAGCTGGGGTCGTGCAGGAGGCAGCCGATCAATGACTCTCTCATCACTGATGTTTCTATCTCCCTCTCTCCCTTTCCTTTCCTCTCTCTGAAATCAATAAAGATATATTTTTTAAAAAAATTATTTCATTATACCTTGCTGAATTTCTTGGTCCCTCAGAAAGTTGGCTGCTTTTTCTCCACACAAGATTTTTTAACTGTTAGAACCCTAAGTTTCTGTTTAACATATACTGAGGATGACTTTTTAACTNACACCTCATCTTTCATCTCCCCTTCCTATATGACCTTTTTAGTCATAAGGGATCATAGTGCTTTCGAAGGCCTATTTTGCACCAGGGCCTGTACTTAGTTCTGCAAGACAGCCAAAGACATAGCCTAGCTTAGGGGCTATACCAAAGAGTGGCTTGGTGTGTGTGTGTGTTTGTGTAAAGTGCCTCCTCACTCTAATCCATCCTAAACAAACATACAAGTCCCCTAGCCCCTTTTCCAATCAGTTTTCTGCCCATGAACCTCTCATCTAGAAATACTGGAATGATTCTAATCCTTAAAGCACTCAGCTTTCCTTGCAAATAATATTTGCAGTGATACACTCTATGTTTGACCTGTGTTTCTCACACCATCATCATCAGATATGTCCTTACATGAAGTTAGAGTCACTTTTTAAGACACTATTTGAGACTTCAAAGTGAGCCACGAGGTGATCTCTCTAATAAGGAAGGAGCTGGAATCAGTCATACTCTAGGCTTCTTTGGGTCTTCTTTAGGAACTGTGCTCTGTCATATCCCAAGTCAGTTACTAGTGGGGGTGAGAGGAAGAAAGGCCAAGTATCATCTGAGGAGGAGGCGTCTAATGACTATAGTTCCAGGTGCTCATTTCTTTAATCAACCACATCATAAAACTCAGAAAGAAAGAAACCGCAATGAACAAAGGGAAAGGAAAAAACAACAGCCTTGTTCTCCTCAGCCTCTTCTTCCCCCTCTTCCTCCTCAGGGTGGGAGGGCCACATCCGGGGCCCAGGGCTGGGTCCCAGGCAGGTCTGCAAGGCAGACTACTAAGTTTCACTTCCTGTCAACCCCAGAGCCGAGGCAGGATGTCTGGGGGCATGATGGGGGGCCTAGGGTTGGGTAGTCAACAGGAGCCGCTTTAGGATTCCCTCTTGCAGAAAGTTCCATGGAGCAGCTCACCAGGACTAGTACTTGTACTCCTTAGGTAGTCCAGTCCAGACCAATGCATCCCTCTAGTTTTTAGGGGCTTCGTCACACACTCTCACCTCTAATCACTAGTAACAAATCTAAGGACAGGATGCCAGACCTGACAGGGCTGAAGCACAGTTGGTGAAAGCGCAAGGGTTAAAAATAGAAGTTACAACATTTCAAAGCCTTCGGATGTTCCTAGTCAGCCATTGCTTTTTTTTTTTTTTTTTTTTTTTTAAGTGGGGCACTTCCAACCTAGTGTTGAAAGTGGTCACTAATATTTCACCTTCTCCTTGCTTCCAGCGCAACTGATGGAGATTAACCTAAACTAACGTGGGGGATTTGGAGTGGGGTAAAAAAAGCTTTGATAAGGAAAAAGCAACATGGGGTTGGGGCAGGGCAGAAGTGACACCTGAGGAGAGGAACCTGCAGCCGGCCCCTCCCAGGCTGGAGGGGAAACGAGTTTAGCAGGATTTAGCCCTGAAGGAACAAGAGCTGCTGAAAAGAACGGGGGAGGAGAACATTTGGGTTCCTATAAAGAATAGGAAGGTACGGGGCAGGGCAGTTGCAAAAGGTGTGACCTGGGCGGGGCAGGATTGCAAAACGTTTGACCGTATGGGCCGGTTCACTGGCGAGTTGCCCGCTTTCAATCCCTATGGCCCAGAGACTAGGAAGAGGTTAGAAAACTAACTGGATCCGCCAAGGAGCCTACACCCTGCCCTCTAACCCCGAGACCCTGCCAGAGGAGGTTCCCGGGGTCGAAGGCCGGCACAAACTTAAGCCGTTGTCACTTCGCCGCCTGAACCTCCGGGGCCGCCCCAGGGGCTGGGCCAGGCCAGGGCTCACCGCCCATCTCGGCCCGCCGCCCGCAGCCCTGAGGCCGCCGAGACAGGACACCGGCCGCCGGTGCCCTCCGCCTCCTCTCGCGGGTCCGTCTGGCGAGTAGGGCTGGGCGGCCGAGGGCAATCGGCAGGCGATTTCGACTGCCCACCTTCTAAGAGAGGATTAGGGGGTCTTCCATTTGCGCCCCCCCAACACAACTAATGCGCGCCAGTGCGTTCCTGGAGTTTGCCCGACCGGCTCCGTGTCCCCAAGCCGTTCTGGGACTTAGGCGCAGGCTAGGGCCTGAATATTCTTTTTCTCATTTATCAGGCCCCCTTTCCGGGTGCACGTGGGCCTTGCCCCCTTTTTCCTCGCAGGTCCTGGACGGACGAGAGTGCCTGTGAGGAGAGGGCTGTGCCTCAGAATTCTCTCGGCATCAGAGGACTGCTTTACACGCAGCAGGCGCTCAATAATGGTATCAGTGGCAGTAAAAGAGCCTACTGCTTTTATTTTACTGAAATTATTCAGCCTCTACTCCCTTCTTCGTCCTCCTCCACCATCGTCCATGAAATTGTGTACTCTCCCTTTAAGACTAAAATGGTGGCATGCTACGATCGGGACTCCACTTCCGGTGGGGAGGGGGCGGGACCCCAGCCCGCTCACGCCGGAAGTGGTTTGCGTTTTCAAGATGGCGACTCCCTATGTAACTGATGAGACCGGCGGTGAGTGCGGGAGGCGCGGAGCCGTTTCTCCTCGGGCTCTCGGGGCAGGGGTTCGGACTTGGAAAAGGGTCTGTGCCCCGCCCATCCCGGGGCCCCTCCTTTGCCCCGCCCTCCAGACCGCCTTCCCCATTCATTCTCTCCTACCGGGTGTCACCTGCGCCCCCTTCTGGTCTTGAGTTTATGGGGTCTCTGCTTCCGGTCACCCAAACCCGGGGTCCTTCAATGCTAGTCCCTATTCCCGGACCCTCACGGGCTTTTAGGTTTTCTCTAGCAGTTGAAGCTCCAATGTCTCTCTTTTGAGTTCTCTAGCCTTGGGGGGGAGGGGGTTCCTACACTCTTAGTTCCCTCCAATTCCTGCTCTACCCTTCTTCCCCTCCCCCATCTTTTAGCTATACCTGCTTTCTGCCCTACCCCAACGTTTTCTTTTTCTGGAAGCTATATCTGTAGAAGATCTTCTCATTGCTACATATAGCTTTTCCAGTCTTCCTCATCTTCATTGTTGGTCCAAAGGTGTGAAGGGTCGAGGACCCTAATATAACTTTCAGCTTGAGTTTTCTCTTTGATGGCCCCACCCTTCTCTACCTTCTCTCTTGATAGTGATAGGAGTTAAGGGATCTAAGGTGGAAGAAGGCAGACCAGTAACGTATATAGTGGTCTCTCAAGCCCTCTGACAACTTGATAGAACCCACTATCCCTTCTGGCTATGGAAGAATTTCCAGTCTTGCTGATTGAGATGCTGAAGTGTCTGCTGTGTCTGTGAACTATATGTGTTGAAAACTGAAAATCAAGATTTTCATTGTTGTTTTGTCCCATCCTAATTTCCTCATCTTTAGAAAAATGTGTATAGGAATATCTAATCATTGGCAATAAAATAAGATAGTATATGTGAAAGCAATTTATAAAATGCTGTGCAAGGCAAAGTGTTACTGTTTGTTTTTTGAAGTCTTCATTGTGTATGTGTAGCCTTCTGTAGAACTGATACAGTGCCTGTGCTGTGGTACATATGGTCTGTTTTAAAATGTGCCATTTTTACTTCTTCCTTTGCAGCTCATGTTCTTTACACCCCAACCCACCTTTCCTATGATATCTAATGACAACCTTTCCCCAACCTCACATTTCAAAGTGGTAAAACATCTCCTACTCTCTAGTCAGTAGTTCCTTCTTCAACTAGCGTCTTTTAATGTGTGCTTTGAAAATATTATTCAATTTCTCGTACACTCCTCTTTATTCTTAACTGTTGTGTTTTTTTTTGATTGCTTGATTTCAGAGAGAGAGGAAGGGAGAGGGAGAGAGAGAGAAACATTGATCGGCTACCTCCCACACACACCCTGACCAGGATCCAGCCCACAACCTAGGCATGTGCCCTGACTGGGAATCGAACTGTTGACCTTTCCGTGCGCAGGATGATGCTCAACCAACTGAGCCACACTTGCCACAATTGTCTTAACTGTTTTCTTAAACTGATTTAATGAAAATCCAGATATTGCATCTCACTCTCCCCTCCTACCAAGGGATATCTTCTGTTCTCTGTGACCCATGTGGAAGAGGGGAAAGAATCACATTGCTTTTTTGTTTTCCTTTACTACTTCTAGATCACTGATCTACCACTGTCTCTCGTGGAAGGTATTGCCATGCAATTATAGCATTTTCTCTAAAACCTCAGGGCCATCATCATTTTTCTCTCCACTGTTTCTTGCTCTCATTCTCAGTATCTCCAGCACCTTTGGGATACTCAGATCTTATAGTTCCTCAGCATGAGACCATTGACTTTGCTTTGTATTTTCAAACCAGCTTACACATCAGAGTTAGTACAACTTGGACCTTACCTATGACACTGCTTCACCTTCAGGTGTTCCCCATCACTTATTTTAGCCTCCTTACCAGTCACTTTTTTCACTACTTCACACCCACAGAAACTGCATTTTTCCCTCCTTAGGTTCTCTGGTTCTTGACCTTTCCCATTTCATTGAGTCTATTATTACCTTTATGACTGCCTTTGTTGCTGCCCTTGCTAGACCTCTGTGACCAGCCACTTTGGTACTATCCTCATTGCTTTCTTCATTCGTTTTGACCTGTACTAAGCAAGCACTGTACTATCTTGAGTCGTACCCATCAACTGTTTTCTTGAATTCTGCTTCCAGGCACAGCACATAGCTAGAGAAAAAACTCCAAAGCTAGCAGATCCAGTATAATATAATTTAATGTTAACTTCTGCCAAGATCACATCTTCTCTCCAATTCTTTTTTCTTGGTTTGCTTACATTCTACCATGGCCATTTCCCCAACCTTTTAATTCTCCCTCTTGTGGCAGGTGACCCACTTTCTATTTCATTGAAAAATCAAGGCATATCATTTCTGTTTCTTCCCTGTCCACAGCTTGACTTCTTGCATGTCAGGTCTATACATACTGTTTCCATTTCCTCACTGCTTATTTGTTCCTTAACTCTTAAATTTTTATTTCTAGCACTAACTTCTCTCCTGAGTTGCCAATTCCCTTTTCTTATTGTTTGGTAAATAGCTTTCATTCTCGGATATACTTTCACACCTCAAATACAAACTGTTCAAAATCAGTATCAGTTTTTTCCCTTATTTCAAAGGAACAAAGGCACCATTGTTCTAGCCAATCTAAGATAAACTTTTTTGCATTATTTCTCTCACTCTTTCTCTATTCTTAACATTTTATTTTCTTCTTAAAATTTTGAATGGACTTTATTTTTTATAACATTTTTAGATTTAAAGGAAAAGTTTGTTAAAATTTTTGCTTATTGATTTCAGAGAGAGAGGAAGCAGGGTGGGGAGAGACTTGCTGTTCCACTTATACGTGCACTCACTGGCTGATCCCTGCATGTGCTGCCCTGACCAGGTATCAAACCTGAGACCCTGGTGCATTGGGCTGATGCCCCAACCAACTGAGCTACCTGGCCAAGGCATAGATTTATAGAAAATTTGAGAAGATGATACAGGCAATTCCTGTATACCTTAGGTTCAGTTTCCCTTATTAACATCTTACATTGGTATGGTACTATTATTGCAATTAATGAACCAATATTGATACATTATTATTAATTAAAGCCCATACATTATTCAGATTTCCTTACTTTTTACCTAATTTTTTTTTTCTGTTCCAGGATCTCATCCAGGACACCACATAACATTTAGTTTTCATGTCTCCTTAAGCTCCTATTGGCTGTGACAGTTTCTCAGACTTTCCTTGTTTTTGATGACCTTGACAGTTTTGAGGAGTACTGGTCAGGTATTTTGTAGGATACCCCTGTATTGGAATTTGTCTCATGTTTTTCTCATGATTAGACTGGAGTTATGTGTTTTTGGGGGATCGACCATTGAGGTAAAGTTATATTTTCATCATATAATGTCAGGGGTAAATAGTATCACAATGATTTTTTTTTTAAAGCATATCTTTATTGATTTCAGAGAGAGGAAGGGAGAGAGAGAGAGATAGAAACATCAATGATGAGAGAGTCGTCATTGATCGGCTGCCTCCTGCACACCCCTGACTGGGGATTGAGCCTGCAATCCGGGCATACTCCCTGACTGGGAATTGAACCCCAATCGCCTGGATCCTAGAACGATGCTCAACCACTGAGCCATGCCCAGCCGGGCCACGATTATTTTTTACTGTTGATATTTACCATGATCACCTGGCTAAGGTTCTGTTTGTAAGGTTTCTCCACGGTAAAAGTTACCCTTTTCCCTCTCCTTTCCATACAGTATTCATTACAAGAAAGTCACTGTTCATAGCCCGTACTTCTTTTTCCTTTTTTAAAAAAATTTTCAATTACAGTTAACATTCAATATTATATTAGTTTCAGGTGTAGAGCATAGTGGTTAGACATTTATATAACTTACAAAGTGATCCTCCCAATAATTCTTGTACCTACCTGACACCATATATAGCTATTACAATGTTATTGACTATATTCCCTAAGTTGTACTTTATATCCCATGACTATTGTGTAACTTTCAATTTGTTCTTAATCCCTTCACCTTTTTCACCCAGCCTCCCAACTTCCCTCCCATTTGGCAACCATATGTTTGTTCTCCATATCTATGAGTTTGTTTCTGTTTTGTTTGTTTATTTTGTTTTTTAGATTCCATATATAAGTGAAATCATGGTATTTGTCTTTCTCTGTCTGGCTTATTTCACTTAGAATAATACCACCTAGGTCCATCCAGCTTGTCACTAATGGTAAGATTTCATTCTTTTTATGGCCAACTAATATTCCATTGTATATATGTATCACATTTACTTTATCCATTCCTCTTTTTTTGTTCTGTTAATCCTCATCCAAGGATTTTTTTTCCATTGATTTTTAGAGAGAGAGTGTGGAAGGGAAAGAGGACGGGAGAGAGAAAGAGAGAGAAACATGGATGTGAGAGAGACACATCAGTCATTTGCCTCCTGCATGCACCCTGACCATTGGGGCAGGGATCGAACCTGCAGACCAGGTACATGACCTTGACCAGGAATCGAACCCTTGACCCGTTGGTGTGCAGGGCAGTGCTTTAACCACTTAGCAGCACTGCCCAGGGCTGTCCTTTTTTTTTTTTTTTTTTTTTTTTTTTTTTTTGG